TAGAGGTACAAGTACTAGTATCAGCGTGCACATTTAAAAAAATAATAAACTAACGCTATTTAAGGAACTAAGCACGAAAAGCTAAAAAAGAAACCTTATTCTGAAAGCACAGCAGCTTTCGCCGAGAAATTCAGCATCCGGCTTGTGAATCAACACCACAACAGAAACACCACTTACTCATATGTCTGAGGGGTCAGTGAAACCATTGCCCGTACAGGAAATTAGACATTCGAGTGACTCTAAAGCTTACGACCACATGCTGTTTACGTATTGCCAAACACAATACATCGAGGCAGTCAACGAAATGCGCTCTATAGAGCTCGGAAATGGGAACTTTCGTGCAGACTGAAATGGCTCCGACGACCCATTGACCCATTCTTACTCCCCTGTGCGATCCACACGACCCTTTTTCTGCTGCCTCTATCTTCGGGCAGGCGCCCACGTGATGGAAAGAGTAAACAGTGTAACCAGTTATTGTGGTTGGAACACCCACCTGTTGAATGAGTGTTTATGCTGCTGCCCAGTTATTTGTCTACTGCGTGCCGACGGAAATGCCATGGTTTAGGAACTTGCTCATTAATCTCGGGAAAGTAAGCGGACGACCACCATTGTTGCTTACGCCGTTTAACGTTTGGTACCGCTTTTTTCGCGCTTCTTTTTTCGCTTAAAAAGTACAAACGTTCCTGTATGCGTGGTGCCTAAATATTCAGAGTAAACTGGTGTGCGCAAGCAACTCCAGTTAAAGTAGCTGAAACTTACTGCCCGCTGCAAGTTTTACTGCCTGAAGCTTCTAGGGATGTGTAATAATTGCTCTAAAGTAAAGTGCTCAACACCTACAAAAACTCGACCGAAACATCGTTTTACTTAATTACCGCAAGGCCTTCGGAGATAGAGGGACGAAAGCTATGGATTGCCACTGGGCGTTGGAACAGACGAGCCTCTCCGACATTGTGCGAGTTAAAGCGTCGCTTCTTGTTCTAAAGCATTTTGTTCTGTCGTGTCAGTACCCGTTAGATGCACTCGATTATGCTGACACTGGTAAACAACGAGAATAATCATAGCCTAAGAATATGTTGGTTCGGTTTGACCACCGTGCAAGGGCACTTTGCTCGGACTTTCTGTATTTAATTTTTACAGAAACGGCAATGCGGTAATCGTTGACTTCGGAAAGAACAAGCAGTTATTTATACGTCACATTTGTATTTTCAAAAAATTGAGTGTTCACTACGAGCTCCACCTCATATCTGGGCCTTGTTACGCTGGTATGCGCGAAGCTTCTATTATATTCACCAGCTTCACAATTCACTCCACTAGGACAGCAGCAGTCGCGGTTCGTTCTCCTTCGCAGTAAGAGGTGATCACATGTCTTCTCGGGTGACCATCTTCAAAATATGCCACTGCTCCCAAGACGTCATCTATTGATACTTTTCAACACTCGGCCGACCAAACTACATAATCAAACATGTCTCCTCTGGACGAGCGAAGTCCGCTATCCATCGAGCAACAAACTTCATGCACTAACTCACGACCCACATAGTGGCCCTCCGTGCCACCGTCAGCGCACCCTTAGGCCCTCACCGGAAAGCAAGGGGAGCTGTAGGGAAGGGGCCGCATCCATCTCACAGATTGTTCTGTGGAGTAAGATGAATCAGATTCGTCTGTACCACTTCGAATTCTCGAGTTATCCCGATCTTGTGTGGTACTGGGGCTCAGGGGTAACGAGGATCTCACCGCTGCCTTAAGTTTGCTGGGACTTGGTCTGGCCGGTCTTAATTGGTAGCTGGCTTTCGTCACCGGACCCGTCTTTTGTAGTCAGAAAATGCACTCGTGCAGGACAGGCGGAAATTTATTTACATTTATGAGTATAGAAAGGAGAATAAAAAGAGGAAGGGAGGAATGTACTACAGTCTTCGGCTTATATAGCCAGCCATTGGACAACCCTCAGGCACCCGGTGTCCGTAGATGCCCCCAATTGGGTTGCTCAAAGACCCGGCGGTGACGATCAGAGTCCACCAGGGTGAAAAGGGAGGATAGAGTATCGTTGGCCTCCAGGGGTGCAGCACTCATCCAGACTGGCTTCCCCGATGACTTTGTACACGCACTGCTTTGTGCATTATCTGAATCTTTTTTTGGGTGACACCTCACCTGTGCAAGACATTCGACGGACCTTTTGCACAATTAGTCAAGTGTGCACTTTCTTTCGTATGTCACCCAAAAAGACAGCACTCCTAAGACAGAGCACTGATGTCTCTTCTATCTCTCATCTCTACTATCCCCTCGCGTCGTTTGCGCTGTTAAGCACTCTTTATCATGTTATACCAACAGGCTCAATCCTACTGTCTTTTATGTTTCATTTGTAATTTGTGTTGCCAAAGCACACCTCCAAAGGGAAATTTGAATCTTCGCATGCCGACCTTAGATTTTTACCTGAGATATAAAGCAACAGCTGATAGCATTACACTGAAAGGTGAATGAGAAATTATGAAAACTAAATAATGCAAGAGAATGAATTTGCCCGCTTGGCAATGGACGCATTAGGTGAATGCGACGAAGCCCACTTCCGGAGCATTCACACACTCCTCAACATATTGGCAACGCTTCCAGTGAGTACATCTGCTGCAGAATGCAGCTTCTCGACATTGAAAAGAATGAAAACGTACTTGAGGAATCATACGGACAAGGAGCGCCTTAATGGTCTGGACCTTATGTCCAGTCACCGTATACAAGTCAGTGTCGACGAAATTATCACTGTGTTTATGGAGAAACCACGACGCGTGAGCATTATAGGGTGAACCGGTGCCTTCGGCAAGGCTACATGTTCTTTTTTTTCTTTTGCATTGACCTTTACTTTATGGTAAACGGCAATGCCAATTGTTAAAACTACTTGCAATAAGAACGTTCTGCCACTTTTGTGTCAGGGAAGCATCTGTGTTTTATTTTTTGTTATTAAATAAAAATGTCTGCATGTGTGTGTGTGTGTGTGTTTTTTTTTTGTTTGAAAATTCTTGCCTTAAAATGACTCCTGCTCTTCTCGCAGGCCTCTTGTTAAAACAGAGTGTGAGAAGTTCGGCAAAGAATGCGTCCGATATTTTTGAACGCACATGCGTACGAGGACGACCGGTTTCCTTGAATTCCCACCCCCTTTGTTTGACGCTCCTTTTTCCATAACTGAATTTGTATGGGCCCTCTTGGTCACGATTATTTAGTAGAAAAGCATTCTTTCGGGTGCACCTGCACTACCTAGATTGCAGTGTCAAAATTCGATTTCCACCGCTGATTACTTCGCCTCTTGAGCTACATTGCAGTTTATTTTCATTTTCTTTTAATAATTAGGCACCTTTTATATAACCGGCAACTTTTTTATATTTGCATGAAAAGATTTTCTTTCGAACAGTTAGGCCTTGGCCCCCTCCCGAAAAAATCTATGCTACGTGCCTGCTTTGAACTAATGAATATAAATATAAAAATGGAGCCATGGTAATTCTTCATAGTTGCGTTTTGTGATGCTGCAAAAAATTTGATAGTTCATCAAAAAACTCAAAATATCTCTAAGAAACAATTCATTCAAATAAGAGTCTTTCATTCTTTACCTTGAAGGATTGATGAAAGAACCCGACTACGTAATGAAAACCTGTTAGGCTGAGAAAGTACAATTGTCTTATACAAGCTTTCATATTTTCTAAAATAATTTTAGACTAATCTATACTACCAATATTTTTCGCAATAATATATTTTGTGAAAGAACTTATTTGCAGAGAGAAACTTTTCCTTTCCTCAAAGAAAAGCACTTTCGCATGTTTCCCTAAGAACATCCTCTCCACACCAAATATTATAGCATATCCACGGAGTGAGTGATGATGAAAGAGGCGAAGAGTCCGTTTGTTTGTTTGTTTGTTTGTGTGTTTGTTTGTTCGCTCGTTTGTCTGTCTGTCTGTCTGTCTGTCTGTCTGTCTGTCTGTCTGTCTGTCTGTCTGTCTGTCTGTCTGTCTGTCTGTCTGGTTACGCCTGACGCAGGACAAGGTTAGACTAAGAGGAGCTTCGCCCCTAAAGCAGATTAGTTAAAACTATTCCTTCCGTAGGTCACACCGTTTTAAGACATGAAACAGACTGCGCATTCGTGAAGAACAACGTACAAAAGTACTTAATGATTCTTCCCTTATTAGCAGCCCATTTGAGCCGGCACTCGTGCTGTATAGATATGACTGAGGGACCCACACTAATCGTCGTCTTCTTCCTGGGCCCTCCCTCTTCGCAATCGTCCGGCGGGTGAGACAAAGCGTACGCCTCACCGTGCATCCGCCGTACATCATTCGCGCAGTGCTCGATGCACGTTCCTGTGCGGCCGGCCAGGGAAGCCGCACTGGGGTTTGCACGCAGTCTTGTAACGCGCTGCCAGCGTTAAACCTGCATTAGCATTCGCGATGCACTGAACAATCGCGCACGATCTTCCTCTGCCCCAAAAATACACAGCACGAGAACCACTTTTCCCAAGGAAACGACGGCGCTGAACCAGCGCTGCGCCAATGTGTCTGCGGCTCACGCGGCTTTCCCGGGACGTAAACTTACCACGGCAAAATGAATCAGCGCGCCTCAACAGCAAGCAAGCTACGCCCATCGCATGCAGTCTGAAACGGCGGTCGGGATGTAGGGCAATGCCCGACTGCTCTCCGCTTTGCTTTCCCCTCCTCCACGGCTGGTCTCGATAACCGGAGACAGCCGCGCCTGCTTAAAAATAGGGCTTCGGAGGTCGGGTCCGGCGCCTTCTTCCCCGTACATTTCGTTTAATGAAGGTCTTCTTGTCTTTCGCACTTTCTCTTTCAACGTCCGCTCTCCGCGCTTCATGTGCTGTTCACGGCCGGAGCGCGCTGCCGGTCAAGGCAAAACCGTCTTTCCTTTCTTTTTATTCTTGCCACAGATGAAGCGGCGATTCAGGCCAGGAAAGCCGGTACAACAGGGAAATATGCCCGCGAATCAAAGCACCGACCAAACACAAGACAAGCCCGCTCTTCATTGGTGTCGGGCCTCTCTTTGCAAACAAGGAGGAAGGAGGGAGCCGACTATAAAAGAGGGATCGGTGTCTGCTGGCTGCTGGATATTCTCCACCGTTTCTCAGGGACGAGCCATGAAGGTTCTGGTACGTCCCCGTGACCTTGAATAATTGCGTTGTTTATTTATTTCCTGAGATAGCAGGATTTATTATGCATCCACTCAAATTTATTTAAGCTGTTTGGTTTATACAGGGCTGTAGTTTTTAGAACATGACTCCTAGGCAAATATTACACCAAGTGGATGGAAGAAGCCTTTACTAAAGTTGCCCGCCTGACCACTGAACTGCTTCTTCCATGCTAGGTGTGATTTTGACCTCATAAACTGCTGCTATAGGCATTGGCTTGTCAAGCACAAGTGTCATCAAAAATACGTTAAATATATTTGCATCGACGGCACAAAACATTTTGGGGCGCGAAGTACTGCAACCTCTGACACTGTTGCAAACATTTGTGTTGGAAGTCATATTAACGTCAATGCCTGCGATGGGAGGCTCTTGCAGCTCTTTGATGTTGATGCATGAAAGCAATGCTATAAATTGATATAAGTTCATATTGCTGATAAGATGATGTTTAGCAACATTTCAATGCATATTGTGAACTTGACCAGAAAGTTAGCGATAGTTAGGTGTAAACCTTTTTAAGTGACATCGTAGTGCTCATCAAGCGTCGTATTTCTTGTGGTGAGTTGCCCGTCCTGGCGTCACGTCTAAGGAACAAAACAAATAAACGGCATTTATCGTTCATATAACAAGATGGTTGTTTCTTCTGTCGGCCCAGGTGCTTGCCTTGGCACTTTCTTGCCTAGTCGCCACCGTCATGGCCGGCGGTTTTCACCACTTCGGAGGTGGCTATGGAGGTGGCTTCGGAGGAGGCTTTGGGGGAGGCTATGGATATGGTCATGGTGGTGGATACGGAGGCCATGGTCACGGAGGTCATGGCTTAGAATCCAGTGGTTTATTCTTTGTTAAAGGACCTGGTGGATACGGTCACGGCTTCCACGGCCTTGAGGCCGTGAAGGGCCCGACTTACTTTGTAAGCACAGAACAATACGTTAAGAAGATTCACCCTGGACTCCCCATCGTTGGCAAGCACCACCGCTAGCATCACTGTGCGTCCCACTTTGCGGTAAGTAATTCAGTACTGCGCTAATGACAATTTCATCGAAAGTCGATTTCATATATTGGTTTATTAGCACAAATTTTGGTAATCCTGAGTTTTTTCAGCTCACAGCTCAGTAATAAACATAGATTTTTTTCGTCAAGAGTGTAACTTCGTGCGTGTATATGAAGGAGACAGTTGAAGGTCAGCCGACAAGAAGAAAATGAATAAATGTAGGATGATTCGGGACAATGCGGGGTTTCAGTGTTTATATAATAGAACTGCATATGTCGAACCAGTTGTCTTCTCTTAATCGTTAATAAACCTTGTATAAATCCCCCATTGGAGCTCAATTATTTCTTCCGTTGAGTTAGCCATTAAGCGAAGTGTCAATATATTGCTTAGTTTCTCTTTATATATTTTAAAAAGAAGGCGTTATAAAGCTTGGATAACGCACTGAATATCACCGACTTTAAAATGAACGTTTTTTTTATGCAATCGTACTAATAAAATTAATAAAATAAATTCAAGCTTCACTTATCTAAGGAGTTGGGAACGAGTTCACATCAAGTGGGCAAAGTTCTCAGTCACGAATTAGTGTGCAAATTCCAGGTTCTGTGTAAATTTCGCTGTACACTGCACATTGTTTATATTGTAACCGAGGCCAGATGTACATGCCGTATCTAACAATATAGCTAGTAGGTTCAGAAAAGGTGTGTTTCCCCATACTCTAATAGGTCCGGTGGCACATAGTATTGAAGAGTTTTTTATTGTATGCGCACTTATAAGTTCACTAGTTATAGGTCTTTCCAGCAACTCGCTTTTCGTGAATAACCTCTGATGATTTCCCTTCTATGGCGTTCCATAGACGTCGTTGCTTTCATGTTTAGAATCAGCAGGCCCTTTATTACGCTAACTTTGTTCATACTCATATTCCTACACACAATGTACGCAAATAGCAAACCGCGTGCATTTGTCTGACAGTTCTCATGGTTAGGTCACAGTGTACCTAACCTCGTACCAGCGTCTACATGTGTTGCGTTTTGTGGTACATGTTAGTGGCACACGAGATTTTGTGCACTTTAGAGCACATTTTCATCACTAGCTAAAGAATATTATTCGCTAGTGTCAGTCAAGCTCAAGACAGTTGAACCTCTTCAAACATCAAACGTCTAAAAACTTGCTCCCCGATTTTTTTAATGAACGCAATGCTCACGCACCATTATGAAAATGTCAACAGACCTGGCGACGTTTGGCAGCCAGGTGATATTGCTTTCGTAAACTTGGTTTCGAGCAGAAATTTTGACATTTTGAGGCGTGCTGAAGAAGCAGTCATTAGCTTTCAATAATTATTCATCCGAGACTGTGCAGCCTATTGTTAGTTATAAATGCGCAATTAGGTTTTGATCTGTGCTGCTTTATAATCTATCAAATTCATCGTTTCAACTATAACAAAAATACTAAAATAATCTTTCATTCTGGCATCTGCGTTCTAATCTCCAACACGCCAATGGTTTCCCGGAAAGAGCGAGAGTAACTACTTTCTTCTACTATGAATTTCTGCGTAATTGCTTTGTTTTCATTTGAAGAACGCAGTAATTCTGAAGTACATGATACAGCCAGCAGATTCAAAACCTCCATGCGAAGTTTCTTGTGACCTCTTCCACATTTTCTCATCTTCACAACATTCCTCTGAAGTATGCATGTGCCTTAAGTCCGCACCAGAGTAGCACGTTTTTTTTCTGATCGATGCATATAGTTCTTGCAATATTATGAGGAATATTTGCATCTTAATTACACTCTGGCATTCAAGCACATACTTAGCAACCGGCTGGTTGTGTAGCCTAACCGCTACATAATTGGCCAGTAACTGGGGACGTAAAAGTACTATTTGAATCTTGGTCCCATACCGAATCATGTTTCAGAGCCATCGTTGTGTTCAGAAATTTTTTAGTGACAGCAGTCTTGTCTTGTCCTGACAATTGGTCATCTTCCAAGCTAAGCAGTTATGTATTCTTCGCATCCTACGTTCTTCACACGGCCTCATCTCATTGATCTATCTTCGTTATCTCCACATAGTACACAGCAGTAGCCTACAGCAGCATATCTCAGGCCTTCCGTCATCACAAAGACCTTAGTCCCCTTACATGTACTTTAGAAGGTTTCTTGTGCAATGTTTAGTCGCTCTTTTCTAGTTTAAACCTACCTGATTCTTTCATAGTGGCACAGCAATTAAGGCAGTCGGCCGCTGTTCTTATAAACACTTGTTCAATCCGGGCCGTCACAGTCGCATTTTCGATGCGAGCGGGAATGCTAGAGATCGGGGTAATCTGCGATGCCAGTGCAAAGTAAACAACCCCGTGGGATCGAAATTGTCAGAGCCCTCCACTACGGTGAGTCTCGTAATCACATCTTGGTTTTGGACCGTGAAAAACGAAAAATTAATATACATCATGTAGTTATATTATTATTATTATTATTATTATTGTTATTATTATTATTATTATTATTATTATTATTATTATTATTATTATTATTATTATTATTATTATTATTATTATTATTATTATTATTATTATTATTATTATTATTATTATTATTATTATTATTATTATTATTATTATTATTATTATTACCTACTCGCACGAACAACCATTCAATATGTCGTGGTGGTGATAGTGAAAAGCGTTCGTTTTATTTCTCACACTTCACTTTTTAATACTTTGTACCAAAATTCAATAGCTACGGCATAAAAAGGGCGGGTTGGCGGGTAAGTGGAGTTTCGAGGACACATGGTTCAAATTGAGGCATTTGGTGTATCATATGAGGTGCGAAATTAGTCTTGAATCTTTCTTTCCAGAAGCACAAGGTTTTATATTAAGAGTTTACGTAGTTTCAGCGCATCGGACAGCAAATCGAGCCAAAAATAAACGGACAAATAAATAAAAAGCTGGGCACTTGTCTTTAGCTTCTGAAAACCACCATATTTCCTGTCCCTTGTTGTTTTACTCTTAACGGCCTTTTTTTTCTGCAGCCCTTTTAAATGTTTCCGCCCACCCCTCCCATCTTCCATTTCTTGCGTGAGAAATCCGAGCAGCCGAACTTCTTCTCATACGCTGCATGAGAGGTAGTAGTTTGGTTGCCCTGGCAGCTTTTCATACTCTTCAAATAGACGATGGTATGAAATAGATGCGCGTATCACGAGCCATCATCGCAGCCTTCATCGTTTTGCGACAAAGAATACAGAGATATACGTTTGCTATAGTTAGACCCTTGAGCACAGCTATTTTTCGTTAGTCACCGTAATATAAAGCGAGCAGAAAATGATATGAAAAAAAAAAACCAAGAGAACGAAAAGGGTTTTATTTGCCTTTCTATGTCTACAAGATTATAGAGATGCTGCGCTGGAGAAACCCTGTAACAGTATTTCTTCTCTACCTTATATTAATAGACAGCCTTGCCTTTAATTTCGCACAACGTTCAATTTTAATGTTGTTGTTCATCCTGTTTTTTTCTATTTATTTTTGTTTCAGATCTTGAAAGTCAGCGTGCCCGCATCACCTCCTGAGCGAATCTTGTTGAGAGTATGGAGCATATGGCAGAGTACTGAGGTTTCATTAACTTTTTTGTTTGTCTTTTCATTCTATTGCACAAACCAAACATCTGCAGATTTAGTCGTCGCCAGCACCAGCTATACCTGAATCATTGCTTCATGATCATTGTGCGTCACATTTGAAGACAATTTTATACTGTTGTAAATAGTTTCGTTAATAAAAGGAAACTGTTGTTATAACAACCATCTGTGTGTTTCATGGATCTATGAAAGAATTTGTGTGGATAATACGCACAGCATCCCTTACCCTTTCCTAAGCAAAAAAAATGTTTCTGTGTAAGATCGTGACAAGCGAGATTAATAAAAATATTGTTAAGCTTTAGATACCCTTTCAGTAAACACATGAGTTTAGGTCTTTATCATTTCGCTTTGTTTATGCTGATTGGTACGATAAAAATGTGTTAATCGCGAACTTGTTTAAGCTGTCACTCTAACCTGTGCTCCGTGGTGCGAAACTCCACAAGTGGGTATTCGCCATTAGAAATACGAAAGGCCTACTGCTGACTACAGCAGGTGCAAGTGATAAACGAACATTATGTATGGAGAAGTTGAGCTCGAGAAACACGTGAAAGTGAAAAAGAAATAAGAAAGAAGAAGAAAACATAGAAAGATCAAAAAGAAATAGTCAGACAGCATGATAAATGAAAAACAAAAATAGAATATATATATATATATATATATATATATATATATATATATATATATATATATATATATATATATATATATATATATATATATATATATATATATATATATATATATATTATTTAACCTTTAGGCATGGGACTACTGATAATGAAGCGCTGCCATATTATTTTCTTCATTTTGATTTTTTTTCTACAGGATGCATATTCAAGTAAATGAGCGACAGCTACTGTGTGCGCATCTGTATTGATAAGAAGGTACTGCGTAGGCAAACAACCTAATTTATTCGTAAAAGAATTGTGAGAGGAAGGGAAAGCATGAGGTTTTACGTCCCGAAACCACCATATGATTATGAGTGACGCTGTACTGGAGGGCTCCAGCAATTTCGACCATTTGGCTAGTTCATTGCTTGTTTAGAGAATATGATCTTTGACTTCAGCCATCGGACAAGGAGAGATGTTTCGTGGTATTCATCACAGGGGTCATGTTCAACGACAAGGCACCAGAAGCAGTGGCAGAAAAATGATTACCGTGATAGTAAGGACCACAAGAGTCAAGAAAGAACTCTTTCGCTGTACGAAACGTTTAACCTTTCAGATTCAATAGAAGTAGTATGTGATTGCAAAGGTGATTCATAACAGGTTTTTTTTTTCACCACAAAATCACGCAATGAAGAGGTACCATTGCGTGCTATGTAAGTGAAAGAGACTCCTGATGTAGGTAGTTAGCCTGTTCTTTTTAAAACATCTCAATATGTTGCATGTTGATGATCCTTTCATCACGTAATGTTCTAAACACGTTATCAGTTACATACAAGGAAATGCCTCAATCAAGGTTTTAGGGGCGTATCTCCTAAGTCTGTCTTGTCTGCGGTCGTAGCCACTCCTAGTACTCGGAGTGCTAACGAGATGGTGACAGACAGACAGACAGACAGACAGACAGACAGACAGACAGACAGACAGACAGACAGACAGACAGACAGACAGACAGACAGACGGGCGGCGGACGGACGGATGGATGGACGGACGGATTGATGGAGGGACAAACGAGCGGACGGCGCTCTTTGAGGATGTACTAGGCAATATTCATGGGATTCATGGTTTTACCGATGAAACTCCAGAGCTTCGCTCTTTCATCATCATTCACTGTGTGGATATGCTGTTTTTTTTTTCAGCAGGCATCACATTTTCGTTTTGCTCTATGCCTCGACAAAAGAGAGAGAAAGAATATAACAAAGTTAGTGAGGTTAATTTGACTACGTCTAGTTTGCTATCTTACCTGGGGGGAAGAGGGGAGGAATTGGAGCCGGCACGCTTGCCGACATGAAGCTCAAAACACTTCTGCTCTTGCAGGTTTTTGCGGTCTTTTGGACGGAAACTGCGCATCAGCCGTTCGGCGGGCATACGGTACACGTGTGTTCTGCCATCCCATCTGCGGATACATCACGCAAAGCGTCATCAGCTCGAGCATCTTCATCGCTGGACGAGGAGTGCTGCGATCCTTGTTGGGCCGCTTGCGTGAGCGATTACGACGGCGACAGTCGCTGCATGTGTGGAACATCATGTGACCCAGAACTGGCGTATATATTTGCGCGACACCTTGGCTGCGTGGGAATTGGAGCCGGCACGCTTGCCGACATGAAGCTCAAAACACTTCTGCTCTTGCAGGTTTTTGCGGTCTTTTGGACGGAAACTGCGCATCAGCCGTTCGGCGGGCATACGGTACACGTGTGTTCTGCCATCCCATCTGCGGATACATCACGCAAAGCGTCATCAGCTCGAGCATCTTCATCGCTGGACGAGGAGTGCTGCGATCCTTGTTGGGCCGCTTGCGTGAGCGATTACGACGGCGACAGTCGCTGCATGTGTGGAACATCATGTGACCCAGAACTGGCGTATATATTTGCGCGACACCTTGGCTGCGTGGGAATTGGAGCCGGCACGCTTGCCGACATGAAGCTCAAAACACTTCTGCTCTTGCAGGTTAGTGCTGTTCGTATGCTTGAAATTCCTAAAGCACTTTTAGCGTTGCCGGCTCCTCCCACAAAGGCATGTGTCGCGAGCACCACGGTGCGAGTGTGCACTGGAGTTAATGGGAAGCGTTTTCGCTTTATTGTGAACCGAGTGCTATATGTTGCTCTTCTTCTACTACTTTCTGGAGACATTGAGCTCAATCCTGGGCCTTTCGATAAAGGTGAAATGGATTATTTGAAGAAGTTGCAGGATACTATTATGAGTAAGTTAGAGAATATTGATACTAGGATAACTAACAGTGATACTAACATAGCTGAAATAAAGAGCAAGCTAGAGATGACCGAGGGCCATATAGAAAGCGTCATGAAATTGGTACATGAGCAAGCCACTGTAATAAAGAATCTAACTCATCAGATGCGAATTCTTCAAAAGAAAAATATCGACCTCGAAAACAGAAGCCGTAGAATGAACCTTGTGTTTTACGGGATAGACGATAATGACCAGCATGAAACTTGGGAACAGTCTGAGGCCCTCGTTAAGGGCATCTGCACTGCCCAACTCGGATACGAACTGACATCAGTTCAAAGGGCACATCGCGTAGGTCGTTTTAATGAACGGAAAAAAAGGCCAATTATTGTGAACTTTTCATCTGATAAGGAAAAAGAGGTCGTCCTTAAAAAAGCCAAGAATTTGAAAGGTACACAGTACAGCATTGAGCAGGACTATTCATTCGAAACGCGCACTGTACGAAAGAAGCTTTGGGAATATGGTAAAGCGAAAAGGGCGGATAAGAAAAACCTGGTTAAGCTAAAAGCCGATAAACTGATTATAAACGGCAGAGCATTTACTTGGGATGATGAAAAGGAAGAAGTCGTTGCCTTGTCTAAACGATGACAGGAAAATTGTACCATCTGCGTTCATCGTGATTTAATTATTGCAGTAGTGAATTGCCGAAGTGTAATAAACAAAATAGACGAATTCGCTGGCTTGCTTGATACCGTGAAGGCCGATGTCGTGTTCGGTACAGAATCTTGGCTCAACCCATCCATCTCTGATCATGAAGTGTTTCCTAACAATTATACTGCCTACCGTAAAGATAGGCCGAATCATGGGGGTGGTGTTTTCTTGTTAGTTCACTCGTCCCTTTCATCCGCTAATCTTGATATCGGTAATGACGCTGTCGAATCTGTCTGGAGTACTGTTACAGTCAGTAACAATTTTTCTTTTGTAGCTGGGACGTTTTATCGACCGCCCGCCGCGAACTCCAGTATTTTGCAATTATTAGGTGACATCGTTTCACAGGCGTCTGCCCGTACGATATTATTAGCAGGTGATTTTAATTTACCCGATCTAAAATGGCGAAGTCATTCATGCGAGGTGCTGCATGCCAGCCGTAATAACCTAGAAATGAAGAACATTGTTGACACTTTTGGGTTGATACAGTACGTTTTAGAACCCACAAGACTTAAGCATACCCTTGATCTTCTCTTTTGTAACTCCCCTAATTTAGTAAGTAACGTCGATATCATTCCAGGCATTAGTGACCATCAGGTTGTAGTAGCAGGCGTTATAACAAAAATTCAAAAAATCGCGAAGAGTATCAGAAGAAAGTTGTTCTTTTTTGACAAAGGCGACTATCCGTCAATTTCCGCAAGGCTTCTTGATTATTTGCCTGTATTTGAATGCTTGGTAGAGGAACACAGTGTAGAGTATTTGTGGAACACATTTAAAAATAAGATACTCGAACTCTCAGAGCAGTACATACCAAGTATGGATTCGGCTAAGCTTAAGAAACGTAAAAATCCGTGGGTGACTTACAGTATCCTGAAACTAATTAAGAAACGAAGACGGGTATTCAAAAAATACAAAAAATGAAAGGTAAAGTTCATTATAAGAAGCTACAGGAGCTAACACGTGAATATAAAGAAGAATCAGTAAATGCAAAGCAGCATTTTTTTAAACGATTGAATGAAAATATGAGTACAAATCCTAAACCTTTCTGGCAATATCTAAAGGGATGTGGGTCTGATCCGGTTGGAATAAATGAACTTATTTTCGATGGACGCACTCTTTCCAATGATACTGATAAAGCCACGTGCCTAAATAACTACTTCCAATCCGTTTTTCTTCCTAAATCTGCATTGAGCTCATCCTTGACAAGTAGCAGTGTTCCTCTCATGGAACCTCTTGTAATTAGTGTCAGCGGTATTGAGACCTTGCTCAGGAATCTCGACGACAGTAAAGCTATCGGCCCTGACGGTGTCTCTCCAAGAGTTTTAAAACAGTGCGTTAACCCCATTTCGCTCTACCTTTACCTGATCTTTGAAAAATCACTAAGCACTGGCCAGTTGCCACAAGACTGGAAAGTGGCAAATGTAGTCCCGATCCACAAAGGAGGTCCTAAAAGAGATGTCACGAATTATAGACCTATTTCGCTTACCTCGATATCATGTAAAATCATTGAACATGTAATATATAAGGCTCTAATGAAGCATTTATTAGATTACGATTTGTTAACAAAGACTCAACACGGTTTTCGTAAGGGCTTTTCCTGTACGACCCAAC